GAGAGAGAGAGAGAGAGAGAGAGAGAGAGAGAGAGAGAGAGAGAGAGAGAGAGAGAGAGAGAGTCTAATTCGTATTCAAATTGTTCTCCTCTAGTTTGAGTTTTGCAATATGAATGGGATTATGGGACAGGATTGTAGCAGTTGCATTTTTTTATTTTTATTTTTTTGTTTCATTTTTTGAAGCATTGCATTTCCATTGCAAATAAAAAATGAGAATATTACTTACTGTGCATGAAAACGGAAAAGGCTGCACGCAAACTTATTGAAATCCTGGGCAATGGATGGCCGCGCCACTGCAATGATTCCAGAAAGCCTGTAGCATATCTGCAGAATTCAGAGCAAAACGAGAGAAAAAAGAGTGTCTTAGTGTCTCTAGAGTGTCTCTAAATTGTCCCCTACTGTCTTTGAGGTGTTGCTTACGGTCACTTAGGGTTTCACTGTGTCTCTTTGTGCCCGTCTTTGTCCCTTTTTTTTTTTCTTTTTTTTTTTTTGCCCGCCTTTGTCCCGTAGTGTCTTGAAGCTCCCCAAAGTGCGCTGAAGCGTCATTAACTTTCTCTAACTCAGCACACGTCCGACCCGATCACTTGCGGCGCCCCCTTGGGGCCTTGAGAAAACCATGACGGTCGTCAATCAGTGGTGGTTCACGCAGAACTGCATTCGGATATAAGCTTCGTCTGCTGAATGAACAGACTGACCCCTGTTTACGTTCAGAATTTAGGGTTCACGGTTTAGGGTTCACGGTTTAGGGTTTACGGTTCAGGGTTCAGCGTTTAGGGTTTAGGGTTTAGGGTTTAAGCTTTAGGGTATAGGGGTTAAGGTTTAGGGTTTAGGGGTTTAGGGGTTTAAGGATTAAGGGTTTAGGGGTTTAGGGGCTTAGGGGTTAGGGGTTAGGGGTTCAGGGGTTAGTGTTGAGGGTTGAGGGTTTAGGGTTCAGAACTAAGGGTCACCTTATGGTCAGCATACTCGGCACCGTACAGCAAACTACTATCAAATTTAATCAAATGTGAATCTCGCGAAAAAGGTCGGCCTTTTCCGTTTTCATGCACAGTAAGTAATATTCTCATTTTTTTTTATTTGCAATGGAAATGCAATGCTTTAAAGAATAAAACAAAAACAAAAGTAAAAAAAATAAATAAATAAAATACAACTGCTACAATCCTGTCCCATAATCCCATTCATATTGCAAAACTCAAACTAGAGCAGAAAAATTTGCATACGAATTAGACTCTCTCTCTCTCTCTCTCTCTCTCTCTCTCTCTCTCTCTCTCTCTCTCTCTCTCTCTCTCTCTCTCTCTCTCTCTCT